ATCTTATAAGCGGCTAAAAATTTATAGATTTGCTCTCGATACCTACGGTATTTAGGTTGGGGAACTTCCGCCTCCATTCCTCTGAAACAAGAGTGCCAACACTGGGCGTCATCATCGTGTTCGTCGACTCGTTTGTCGTTTATCTTGGCTTCATTATCGCTTCATTAATTGCTAATTAACCATGTTCTACATGGCCGCCAGTTGCCAGTTTCATAAAAATGTGCATGGCGTGGAAAATATAAGCAAGCGTCGGGGGTTTTAGCCACTTTGCTTGGCCTTTTTGTAAGTGCAAATAAGTCGAAATCATGCCAAGTGAACGCGCCCCGCGTTTATCGCGCTTTAATCTAATGCAATTTGTAAATGGAAACGAAAACGGGCCCACAAAGGATGGGATGGCACTACCAGAATGGTGTCTCCTCCCCTCCCTGTCGCTCCTCAGGCTTCTCTCTCTTTCCCACCGCGTACTTGTAAATTAAAGCAAATATTTTGCTTATTTATTTTGGCTCTTTCTGGCTGCTGCTGCCTCTGTTGTTGACTAGCCGCAAGGCAATTAATTAATTTATTAACGCAAATAAACAAAGGCACAAGGCGAACGAACAAACGAAAGCACAATCAAAGCGCATATGAAATGAAGAAGGCCCATAAGAATTTCATAGAACCGAAGAAGGGCGAAAATCATGAAAGTAGAGTACTAGTCTTTAGCATAACGATCGTTATAGGTTACCTTACATTTTAATATAAATATTTAAGTGATGAAATACTAAGCCAGATCTCTTTAATCTAGAATTATTTGGTTAATCTGGTGACGCCATTTAAAGCATCCAACATCCTGCTAGTCATTTCGCTTTCTAGCCCAACTCAAAGACAACTCTTTCCCGTTTAGCTGGGCTACATGGTATGTTGACTTGTTAAGGCCACGTAAATAGGCGAAAGGATTTTCCACTTGAGGAGTGCCAAGCTGCAGCTCCAAGGAAAAAGAGCAGTCGCTGGCGTTCCGTCTTTTGAGACTGCTCTTCCAGTTGGCTGCCTTGGGTGGTGCGAAATCGGCGGCGCCAAGCCGCAAAAGGAGCCAAAACCACCACGACGTCGGGTTAAGAGATTAACAAACTGGAAGGGGGATGGCGGGGGATGGGGGCTCACAGCCAAGTCAAGTCAAGTGAGGCAGGCTGACACGGAAAGTGACCAAGGTCCCGACTGGTTTGATGTCTGGCCCTGACTCGGTGGCTCGTTTAATTAAATCAAAGTTAATTAATGCTAACGTATTCATAAACAGGGTCATCAAACACCCAAAATCGCCGGGGAGCGAGCTGGGGTCGCCTCCTTGGCTGAATAATTATGTAATATTTTTGACTCAAGGATCCTGCTGCCTGCCTGCTGAATATGCATCAACAGTCGCGTTGCCGCAAGGAGTGCCTGTCAGTGGCAGGAAGTCAACGCACAGGAGCTGCTTCAAGGATCCAAGGAAGAGGACCTGTTCCAGGAGCCAAGGAACAGGAGCAGACCTCCATTATTGGCATTCCCTTGTCGTTGGTAATTATGCCAGAAAAGGCTTAGCGAAACTTTTTGACTTTGTGCAATTAAAAATACATTTTTCAAATATTTGTATACAACGCACACAAATACGAGGAGGGAAAATTGTGTCAACGGTTCGAGAATTGACTGAGTTATGATGTTACAGATTGACCGAGCTTCTCCCTGGGTTGGGGCCTGAATTTCCAAGAATTTAATTATAAATTTTTGGGGCGGGCAACAGCCCAGTTCGGGATTAAAGTCCTGACGACGACAGACGGATGATGAAATCGCTGGGGTTTAAGAAGGGTTCAAAGTTCGAGCGCGGGAAAACATGGCTGCGTGAAAATTACCCACTTTTCTGATAGTTTTATTTACCCTTTCGGATTTCAGGGAAATAAACGAATTGCTCGCATTGGTTTGAGTGCCTTAAGCCGTGTGGATTTTCCAACACAGCATGCGATAGCTGACATGAAATGCATTTAAAAATGCTCCACTCCACTCCGCACATAAATACGAGTAATGCTGATGATATTTTCGATTTTCATATTTTGACACGAACGCCGAATGAGTTTCGGTTTATTTTTATGTGCGTGCTGGCCGCCTTTAAATATTCAACACCGAGCGTGGAACAAGTGTGCCATTAAAAATCATAAAATATTAAAAACATAATCCCATAGACGAGTATATTTTAAGCTTAATTATCGACAGGGAAAAATCGCGCCTGAAAACGTAAATGCTGCGGATAACATCGTGTAATGCCAGTCGAGACAGGAATTTATGTGTGGAACAGTTGGACGGGGGATTACGTCCCCAAATATGTGCGAGTGGATAAGATCTCTTTGCCAGATTGAACATAATTGATGCCGGCCACTTGTGGAGCTCGCTCTGCCCTTCAACCCTTTAAGGCCTTCGCTCTTTAAGCAAAACTATTTCCTATCCCCAAATATTTTACAAAGCAGACATGTTTGGTATGCCGAAAACAAATCCCATCCCAAACTCCATCCCCTATCCCCTATCATCCCCAACCCCAAAACAAAAGCGGAGAAAACATGACAATGAACAAGTTTTTAAACGACGCATTGAAAATTTGTTCCGTTGTATCAAATTTATTATTTAGAGATTTCCACTTTTGTTTGCTCTGCTTTATGCGATTGTTGAAACTATGCGCGAGGGTATTACATGGTATCTATCGTGTAAATAGTTTATTTTGGCAGTCAGCGCCGTAAAAAAATTAAACTTGCAATGATATTCCCCGAATCCTTGTTTCCCGCCCCTCCTCGCAAGCAATAAAACATTCAAAGGATTAAATAGAAGCTGAAAAAATAGATGTGTTCCAAAAATAGTTTTGGCTCAGAAGCCCCCGAAATGGCTGAATGGCAATAACCAGTGCTGCCATTTTGTCCTCTTTCCGGACAGATCTGTCCTTTTTTTAACGGCTTTATCCGGAAAAAATTTCAAACATCCCCTATCCAGAAATCTATCCTTTTTTCAAAAAAAAAGGTTTTGAGTGTTATTTTTGCTAGTCGAAAGTGTATAAACCAGTTTTTATTTGCTAAAATGCCTTTTTAACCATCATTCTTACAGTTCGGCACTTAAAAAATAATTCTTTTTACAAATTATCAAAGAGACGTAAAGCAGTCGATGGATTTTCTTTATAGTACGATTTTTTCTGTAGCCAAAAAAAGAGGCAAGCACTTTTAAAATTTCTTAATTTTTACTCTCTGCTTTTTTTTCAGAAAAAAAATTCAGATTTGAACGACTCTTTTTCGGGTTTGACGCAGATATTTAATTTTTTTGTATTACGAATATAGTTACTTGAAATGCATTAATTATTATAATAATTTTAGATTATTACGTATACGCACAAAAATGTACCATGGTAAAATGATCAAACAAAGAAGGTTGTGAATCGGGCGCAGTAGATCATTACATAATTAAATTTTATTTAAAATCAATTTATATTAAGTAAATATATAACCCATTGGTAAAAACAGAAAAATGTAGGCACATTTACTTCTGTCCTTTTTTTTGTCTTTTTCTTAAATTTTTTGTCCTTTTTTTCCCTGTTTTCTGTGGATTATCTGTCCTGTTTTTCAAGCTGAGTGATGGCAGCACTGGCAATAACAAGAAAAACTGACAACAAATTGTGCAACTTTTTCGGGGGTTGAATTGGGGCTTTGGAGTTTGGTTATTTTTTTGTTTTTGGGAACTTGTTGATACGGTTAAGGGGTTTAGTCGGACGCCGAAATTGGGTTGTGTGTGAAATGTTTGGAGAATAAAATTTGCAAGCTTTAAAAGAGGTTTAAATGAGGCTGGGCACTCTTTTTAAGTACAGTTTTCGAAAGTATTCAAAAGGTATTCTTCAGACGTGTTAAAAATTATTCATCCGCAGTAAAGATTGCAATACTTCCATAATTTAATATAACTTTTTAGTAACATCTACATTATATTTCAGGAAAAACGAAATTAGCTTCCTTTAAGTTTTAGTTATGTGACAAAAGCATTGATGACTTTTTTCACGATTTAATTATAGCAAAACTAAGGAGAACTTGGAATATTTTTTTATTAAAAGCCATTCCTGCTCCTCTATTGACCCAATGTGGATAGACCAATTGCAATTCCCGCTTTTGGCCATTTCGCTTGGAGTGTTGGTGGAAATTCACACCAGGAATTGTTCAAACGGAAAACACCATCAAAAATACTAATAACCCCAGACGGAGCAATGGGGAAATGCTTGGGAAGCTGAGAAAAAGCGGGAAAGGGGGGAAGCTCCATTGCGAAAAATGTTTGCAGGCCTCGCTGCCATTCGTCTTTTTTTGTGTGAGCGCTTTGAAGCGTGGCTGCATATGCAATTACATTTTACAGCAACAAAGTTGATAACAAACAAACGGGAACCAAAAAGTGGAGAGTGATTGTGGGGGGAAATGAGGAAGTGGGGAAAATGGGGGGTTGTGTGCAAGGCATTCAGCAAATTTTCAGCGTCAGGTTTCATTTCGGCTGCTCCTTCTCCCTATCTGCCTTGTTTTACTGCTCCCTTCCTTACCCTTTTTTTTGTTTTTAACATTTTGTTTGTTTTGTGTTTGTTTTCTAAGCTTGCATAACAAATCGCTGCGAAAGCTTTTCAATTCAAATGAATGAAAAACGAAGGCAAAAATGTTTTATGCATGTCGATGGTTGGAGGGTGTTGGGGTTTTTCAAGGAGGGGACAGCAAACAAAGTGTGAATGATGCGCTGGGGCCAAGTTGGGAAAATGAAGGCTGAGAGGAAGGCAAAGCCTTCCATATAATGCTCACTTCCAGCCAAGAAAAAGGGTTAAAAGTGGTCCATATAACAAAAAATTCGTAAAAAAAATACTGAGTTTTAAATGTAATGGTAATAAATTAGTTGGTTTTTAAATAAAACAAAAAGAAATAAGTACAATCTTTCTTGTAATTTATATTCCCAACAAGTAACTTACTAATTAAAAACGAATTTTTCGAGCTCCTTATTTATTGAGTTCTAAGATCTTCAACGAACGAAAAACTAACGTTGGTGTCATATTGAAGCCTCTGGTTATAGAACCATCTTATGGATAACATATAATCGCCTGTTGGAAGTGGGAGTACTAATAGTTCAGGCTTCAGATAAAAATCCTTCAGAATTGTTGGGCCCTGTTAATAAAAATAAATTATGTTTTTTCACACTAAACGGTTAAAGGAAATACTTACCTCATAGGGACACGAGTGGTTAAGATTGGAAAACGGTTTAAAGAAACTATTGAGTATTTTATAAACTGGGTCATCATTTCTGCGAAGGAACTTGCAGCAATCAATTTTTTTGTCTACTAACCAGGGTTTGTAGCCACTTTCTCTTTTGAACATTTTGTAGTGAGCGTGAATCATATTAACCTTATGCAGTATAGTTCCGTTTAAATTCAGAAAGACTCTGCTTCTACTTACGGCCTTTAGACGGCAGTTGTGAAACACAAACCAGGATTCATTATAGCTCATGCAGATTACGTTTGTAAACTTGAAAGTAACTGTCATCTAAGAAAACTGGATTAGTTATATTAGATATAATTTTTTATTTAACTTACAGCGAAATTTGATAAACATACACCGAGAACTGTTCCAATGAGCAAACTAAACCTCATATTGTTGCCTCTGGATGTTTAACTAACGTGTGCCAAATAAGTCATAGAAACACAAATCAAAAGTTTTTAAATAATATAGATATTTCGTTAAATAGTGGATAATTTTTCGCACGATCGATTTCAAATTTGCGTATTGAATACAACTTTTATTTGAGATATTATTTGTGGCTTAGTTAATAGCTGATTTTTTTTTGCTTAATAGATTATAATTTATACTACATATTTATTTAACAACAATCTTTTTGATCTCAGACAATTTTTGCAACAATTCTAAAACTTTTTTTTTTTAAAGATGGACATACCCAAATTATATACACTCACCGCTTTAATACACATTTTTAAATCGTTTTTTGCTACTTTCCAGTTCTAAGATCTTCGACGAACGAAAAACTAACGTTGGTGTCATATTGAAGCCTCTGGTTATAGAACCATCTAATGGATAACATATAATCTCCTGTTGGAAGGGGGAGAAGTAATAGTTCAGGCTTCAGATAAAAATCCTTAAGAATTGTTGGGCCCTGTAAGTAAATGATAAATTATATTTTGTTAAAGTAAATGGCTAAGGAAAATACTTACCTCGTAGGGACACGAGTGGTTGAGATTGGAGAACGGTTTAAAGAAACTATTTATTATTTTATAAAACGGGTCATAGTTTCTGCGAAAAAACTGACAGCAATCAATTTTGTTGTCTATCAGCCAGGGTTTGTAGCCACTTTCTCTTTTGAACATTTTGTAGTGGGCGTGAATCATATTGACCTTATGCAGTATAGTTCCGTTTAAATTTAGAAACACTCTGCTTCTGCTTACGGCCTTCAGCCGGCAGGTGTGAAACACATACCAGGATTCATTATAGCTCAAACAGATTACGTTTGTAAACTTGAAAGTAACTGTCACCTAAAAATACTGGATTAGTTATATTATTTAATGACTTATTTTATCAATTAACTTACTGCGAAATTTGATAAACATATACCGATCACTGTTCCAATGAGCAAACTAAATCTCATATTGTTGCCTCTGGAAGCTTAACTAATGTGTGCCAAATAAGTCATAAAAACTCAAATCAAAAGTTATTTAATAATCTAGATATTTCGTTAAATAGTGGATAATTTTTCGCACGATCGATTTTAAAATTTCGTAAAAAAATTTTAAATGAATTTTAAAATATTATTTGTAATATGTAAAAGGGTTTTGGGGAAAAAAGGGGGGAAAAGAAAAAAGGGAAATTTTATTAAAAATTTTTTTTTTTTTATTTTATTTAAAATATAAACCGGCAATTGGTTTTTTTTTTTTTTTTTAATTTTTTGTTTGGGTAGTGGGGGTGGGGATTTAAAAATTTTAAAATAATTTATATTATTTTTTAAGTTTTTTGGGGAAAAAATGAAAAAGTTAAAAAAAAAATGGAAATACGGTGGGAATTTAAAAAGGGGGTTTAAAGGGGGGTTTTTTTTAAAGTTTTTTAAAAGGTTTTTTTTTTTAAAAAAAAAATTTAAAAATAAAAAATAGAAAGAAAAATTAAAAAAATAATTTTTTGGGTTTTTTTTTTGGGGCGGCGCGGCGGGGGGTGGGGGGGGGGGGGGTTTTTTTAGGGGGGGGGGGGGGTAAAAAAATAAATTTTATTAGGGAAGGGGGTTTAAGGGGAAAAAAAAGGGGTGCTTTTTGACTTATTGTGTTGTAAATTTTTATTTCCCCAATTTTGTCCCAAAAACTAAATTTTTTTTTTTTGTTTATTTATTGGTGGGATGTTTTTGGTTGTTTATGTTACAATTTAAATATTTTTTAAAATAATTTTTTTTTTTTTTTTTTTTTTTTTAATTTTTTATTTAATTTTTAATTTTATTTTTTTTTTTTTTTTTTTTTTTTTTTTTTTTTTTTTTTTTTTTCTATATTTAAAAAAACCCTGTTTTAAGTTATTTGGGAATGGGTTTTTTTTTTTTTTTTTTTTTTTTTTTTTTTTTTTTTTTTTTTTTTTTTTTTTTTGGGTGTTTTTTTTTTTTTTTTTTTTTTTTTTTTTTTTTTTTTTTTTTTTTAAATTTTTTTTTTTTTTTTTTTTTTTTTTTTTTTTTTGGTTGATATTTTTTTTTTTTTTTTTTTTTTTTTTTTATTTTTGGGTTTTGGTGGGGGGGGGGGGCCCAGGGGGGTTTGGTTTTATTTTTTTTTTTTTTTTTTTTTTTTTTTTTTATTTTTTTTTTTTTTTTTAAAAAAAATTTTAAAATTTAAATTTTTTGTTTTTTTTTTTTTTTTTTTTTTTTTTTATTTTTTTTTTTTTTTTTTTTATATTAACCTTAGAACTGAAGGGGGAAATAAAAAATAAAAAAAAAAAATAGAGTTAAATTTTAAATAATTTTTTTTTTTTTTTTTTTTTTTTTTTTTTTTTTTTTTTTTTTTTTTTTTTTTTTTTTTTTTTTTTTTTTTTTTTTTTTTTTTTTTTTTTTTTTTTTTTTTTTTTTTTTTTTTTTTTTTTTTTTTTTTTTTTTTTTTTTTTTGCTTTTTTTCATTATTTTTTTTTTTTTTTTTTTTTTATTTTTTTTTTTTTTTTTTTTTTTTTTTTTTTTTTTTTTTTTTTTTTTTTTTTTTTTTTTTTTTTTTTTTTTTTTTTTTTTTTTTTTTTTTTTTTTTTTTTTTTTTTTTTTTTTTTTTTTTTTTTTTTTTTTTTTTTTTTTTTTTTTTTTTTTTTTTTTTTTTTTTTTTTTTTTTTTTTTTTTTTTTTTTTTTTTTCCCCTTAACCCCCTTTCCCCCAGGGGCCGCTTTTTTTGTTTTGGGTTTTTTTAAATTTTAAAAAGGGTTAAAAAGGGGGGGGGGGGGGAAGTATATTTTAAATATCTTTTTTTTTTTTTTTTTTTTAATATTTTCGAGGGGTCATTAACCCCCTTTTTTTTTTTTTTTTTTTTTTTTTTTTTTATATTTTTTTTTTTTTTTTCCTTTTTTTTTTTTTTTCCTTTCCCGGGAATTTTTTTTAAATTTAATAATGAAAATTGGGCCGTTAAGAGAAGTAGCTAAAACCTACAATATTTTTTGTACTTATTAATAGCTGATATTTTTTAGCTAAATGGATTATTAATGGTGCTTTGATAATTAAGCTCGTGCACCAATGTCAAAAAGGGCAGTATATAGAATTTTAATTTGAATTTTATTCAATAAGTTACAATGTTAAGCGCTTGTCACAATAAAATACAGGTAAGTTGTGAATAAATGCGTGCATTTATGTTAATCTTTAAAAAATCTATGATCTACGCCGTGTTCCCTAATTGCGGTAACCAATAGAACATTTGTAAAAAAACCTAAATGAAGAAAAATTATTGTTATGAAAAAGCAATTAATGCCGAAGGATAACGGCTGTGCCAGGGGGCGGTGGAGGTGTGGTCATCGGTCGGAATTGGGAACACAAGATGGCAGCACCTTGATAGAGCGCGTGACTAATGGACGGCAGTGCCAAAAACCAAAAGTCGAGGGTTGGAAATTAGAAAAACGACAAACTTAATGCACAAACACGGAAACCCCGAAAACAAGGGAAGTATGGAGGGGGTTTGGGTTTGTTCCTTGGGTGTGTGGAATGCATTAAAACAAAAGGCAGCGTGAAAATTTCATTAGAGCCCCGAGCACAAGGGATCCAGGACCCAGAACTAGGCCAGAGTCATATGGCCATAAACACATGCTACACGCAAGGGGTTCGTTCGCCTCGGGAAAAGGAGGGGTTTTCGGGGAGCATTTATACACACTATAATTCATTAACGATTATGCACAACACCCCGGGAGAAACAGAAACATAAACAAAAACAGCAACATCCATAACAGCAATTTGCCTCACACAATTTGTGTTAATTTCGTTTTGGCGAAAAACCAAACTCAAGTCGAGGGCGCATACTTTTCGTGCCCACTGTTTTTGCGCTAATGTCTGGCACAAGATTTATATCCGTTTCTTAAGAGTCATTCATCGTTCATATATGCAAGCCAGTTGACTGAACCTTTTTGGGGAAAGTCGGTCATGGTTAAAGGAAATTATGGAACACAGTTCCTTGGGGAATTTGGAAAACAATCTTTACAAGGGAAGACAAATGAGGATTGTCTTTAATGAGAAGGAAAGATAAATCAAAGTTTTCTAGTACACTTAATTTTATTAATAATTCCTGTGGTTCCAATATAATTTACAAATGGCTATAAATTCCTGTGTTTTAGATAGAATAGACAGGAGCTATTCGAAAACCCATTAAATCGAGAAGACATCATGCATTAGTCATAAATTTAATAGACTGTACTTGCTCTCTATCTCCCCTTCTCCGTGGAATTCCCCAAAGTACTCGAAAGTGTGCCTCCTATTATTATAATAAACTTGCCACCGCAACGAGACAAGAACAAGTAGAATATGGAAAGTGGGAAGTCACCCCCACGGAACAAGACTGAAAGCCCAGCCTACGACGCACTTCTAAAATGTAAAATCAACATTATTTCCTTCCACACAATCAACGATGATTTCTTAATAAAAAGCTGTTCTCCGGGTGAGATGGGGGTAGCACAAGCACACTTACCCCAAGCAGAATGGAACCAAAACAACTTGTGCATAATACAATTTTTGACTGCCCGCGGTGGGGGTTTCGAAGTAGTAATGCTTCGTTGACTGGTGCCAATAGACGGGGTCTGGAAGTGGGTGGTGCTGGGCTGGCCTTGGGGGCTGGGGGGTGGTAGTAGGTCTGTATGGCGAGTGCCCCGTAGTCTGGCATTTTTTAATACCCAAGTGTCCCCCCGGTCGCAATAAGTGCGCTTCGCAACGCTGCACGCATACAAATGAGCCCAAGGCCCCCCAAAGAAAAAGACTTGATAGGGACCGTCGAGGGGGTGGGATGGGCGAAATAAAATGCAGAGCCTGATGCCGAGGTAAACAGGAAGTGGATGGTGTAACGAAAAATGCGCGGACATAAATCGGAAATACATAAATTATTAAACATCATACAATAAGTCGTCTGAGCGTTGACGTTCTTGAGGGTGGTTTCTGGTCTCAGACGATCCGTCTTTGCTTCAATTTTTTAGCAATTCCTCTTTTGAGGCTAATGAGTCGTTTTATACCCTCTGGAAAGGTATTTATAATCTGACAACAAGGTAGTTAGCAAATAAGAAATTTGAAAGTTGTCTTGTAATATAACAACAGTATTTAAAATCGGTAATATTTTAAGAGTTTTAAAAATATTAATAATTATATTCTTATAGATAGTACATAGTACATAGGTACCCCGAAATATGCAGAGAGATTGAATTGAAATGCAGAGGCTAAGACAACTCACAAATAGAATAATAAAATGTTGATATACATTTTAAATACCATTGCAATTAATTATGCCAAAATAAAGAGACCAAATCGGGAAGACTGATTGATTGCACAGGTTATTTACTCATTTAGCAGGTTGGCAGCTGAACTGAAATGTCAAGGGATCCTTCCGGTGACCCACTCCTTCCGCCTTGTCAGCTGTCAGGCAATAATTGTCAGTTGTATTCCCGCTCTAATGTCAAAGATTTCTCCATCTCCTGAGGGGGTTCCATTTTTTTTTGACAACTTCACCGACTGCGAGTGTGTGTGTGCATGTCAAGTAGCAATTGAGACGAGCATTTGGCATTTCGGGCGCGCCACAGAACCCAGTCCCCTGGCATATATATGACATCTGACTTCCACTTGTCAGAAAATATTTGCTTTCCAAACACAACCACTTCGCCCCTGCCGACTGCCCAGCAGTTCCCTTTTCTTCACGCACGAGCTGCAATCTTTTTGTGTCCCAAATGATTTTCCATCTGCATGTGCGAGTGTGTGCGAATGTTTCGTTAAATTGATAGAATAAATGAGCATAAATTGAAAAAAGAAATATCGATGAAACAAGGCACGAACCGGGGTGTGTGAACCACCCAAGCAACCCCTGGACTGCACTGCAAAAATCGCTTTGTGGTTTAAAATGTTGGGTAAAGTTTATCAGTAACAGGTTAAAGCTTAGGTGGAAAATTAAAAACTTGTAAAAGAAAGCTT